TAGGGTTTCCCTGTAGCCCCAGCTGTCCTGGAACTATGTAGACCAGGCTGGCCTTGAACTTAGAGTTCTGCCTGCCTCTGCCTCCCAAGTGCTGGGATTAAAGGCGTGTGCCACCACATCTGGCTATTTATTATCTTTATGTATATGTATGTATTGCCTGCATGTAGGTAAGTGCACCCATGTTGTGCAATGCCCACAGAGGACAGAAGAGGTTGTCAGATCTCCTGGAACTGGAATTGTGGACAGTTGTTAGCTGCCACGTGGGAGTTGGGATTTGAACCCGGGTCTTCTGTAAGAACAGCCAGTGTTCTTAACTGCTGAGCCATCTCTCCAGCCCCCATTTACTTTATTTTTAAGGGGGGGAAAGACTGATGCCAAATTCCCTAAAAGCTCCAATTGACTCCAAAGCAGGTTTTTAATGACTTCAACTATTAATGGCTGAGAAATTCCAAATCTCAATCATGGCTGAGATCTTCACCCATCTCTTAACCATGGTTTATTGAGGGACTTTCTATTTCAGACTGCCAACACATGCAAGACCCCTACCTACCTGGCATACAAGCACCTAATATCATACTACTTTTATCACAAATCAACTTCTCCCAAGTTCCTTTCAATGATGCCAATATTCTCTCCATCATTAGATCCATCTTGGTTATTCATGAGTCCCTGACTCAGCACCATGCTTGGCTCCTCAGAACTGTTTGAGCTACAAAAATTATACCTGACTGTGACTGCAGCACAGTCTTATCTGCAAGCCCACCCTAACATGACTTCCGCAACCCACCTAGCTTACAAGCTGCTTAGCCATAAACCTCTGCTGTGCAAACCTTCCTTCTTGCAGATCCTGTAGTCAGGTTCCTCATCACAGCTCTTCTACTGCTGTGCCCTACTTCTTTCCTAACAACCCCAAAGTACTTCTTATATTCACTATTATCTAAGTGAGACAAAAACAATGAACAGATCATGTTAAATTTCACATTTCCTTAACTAGACTACTAGTTTAAGAAAAAGCATTGTACTTTGTTTTGAACTTCTGACTGCAAAAACTCACTGGGCTGGCCCACCTAAGGGGCTTAAAAAGAAACATCACTGACATTTTCTGGTAAAGCTACGGAGATAATAACTCAGCTCTACAGGTGACATATGTGAGGGGACAACACCCTATGCCATTAGTGCATGAATTTAGTCTGCTTCATAGTACACAGCTGAGAATACAAATTTGGCAGTATATACTTCCACCACCAGGCAGAGATCCTCAGAAAGAACACCTGCATTCACAGAGAAGCTGGACTACGTGAGAGTTCTGGTTTAATACTGTCTGGGTCAAAGCAGCACTTTTGAGAATTCATTCATACACTTGACATGAAGAAAAAATGAATACAGAGGTTAAAAAATTTCAAAGTATCATGTAAAATATTTAAGACACCACAGGGGAAAAAAGAAAACACCAGGAAAGAAACTTGCTTTTAAAAATAAGGACTGAAGATATTTACCTTCAAATGTTTTTTAACAAGCAGGAGAATTTCCAATAATTCAACCGATTTTAACGTTTCTACTTCCAAATTGAGAAGGCACAAAGCTAATACAGATGGCTACAAAAAAAAAAATAGCAAACATTTAAAAAGTCAAAATAGAAACTGTAAGACATACAAAAGCAAGAAACAGACTTACCTTTGCTTTTGAGAAGATAAGTCGGCAGGTGCAAGCTTTCAGCTGAGCTTCTAGTTTATCAAGGCTCGGTGTTTCTTTCCTACACAATGCAAAGGAGAAAGATCTGTTAAACTCTGAAAATGGAAATACTTTTTTTTTTGGTCTTTTGGAGACAGGGTCTCCCTGTAGCCCAGCTGGCCTGGAATTCACTATGTAGACCAGGCTAGTCTTGAACTCGCATAGACCCGACCCGCCTGTCTCTGCCTCCTGAATGCTGGGATTAAAGGTATGCACCACCATGCCCAGCTCTGAAAATGAAAACACCTTTTAGGACTCAAGTCCAAGTTGAAAGTTGAGAGGGATTGTTAAAACATAAACTTGCCAGCATTGATGTTCTATTTAGATGCAACAATACAGAAAGCATAAAGACACTCTGCTCAGTCCCACTCACCTTTCTGAAGTATGACAAAATACAAGAGTATGGTATAAGTGCAAAAAGTTTAAGGCAGTAGTAGCTTCCAGTTCATAGTGCAATTTTTCTGAAATTATTTTTTCCATCCGTTTGATGTCAGAAGCTGTACATTTACACTGACTGATCCGGATCACATCATGGATGGATGGAACATTGCTTTCTTCTTCCACTATTCTAGCGGCCAGCAAAAAACAGCAGACTCCAATGCAAGACAAATGTTTCGGCTTCACCTAAAGAACAAAGAACAAAACAATTCTCAACAAACAGCACTTTGATTTAGCAAAGCAGACACTGATGGCAGATTGTCATGATGCCTCTCCTCTTCAGTCAAGCTGCTTCTCTCACACACACCTTTACCCATAATTGTACTATTTTCACATTTTAGGCCAAAAATAACCAATGCTGGTTCAAAACTTAGGATTCTGGCAGTTATACTTCATATTTCAGACTTAACAAATTCAAAATGGTACACCCTCCTACAAAATAAATTAACCTTTCAACCCCCCCTCCAACACACACACACACCCCTACCTATGTTCTTTATATAGAGAAAAAATAATTTTCTGTATCTTATCTTTTTATATAAAACGCTTTATCACTTCATAATTTTGTGCAATATTCATTTTTTTTTTCTGCAGTGCAGGGACATATGTAAATGCTCCATGGACAGATGGCTGCCCCCTTTCTTTACAGTGCCCTCAAAACTGACCCAGCAGCTGACAGCAATCCTATTGGCCAGAGAATTACCACATTTTTCTAACAGTTGCTGCTGACTGTTAATAAGACTGTGGCTCCCTGCTTTGAAGACATAAAGGGAAGGCAGCAGGTCACCTTTAATACACTGTTACACTTCATTTCTCACATTTCAATATTAAAAACATCTACGCTCTGTGAGAAACAGGATGAAATATTAAAAAAAAATTTTCCCTAAAAGCAGTATTTTACTCTTTTTTTAGTTTGTCTTCTTTTATACCAGTTTATTTGGGGGGAGTGTATTTTTTAATTCCTATTTTTAAAATTAACATACAAAGTACTAGAGACACCATAGCATTTTTGAACGTATATTTTTAAATTATTTATTTTTATTTTATGTGTATGAGTGTATGTGTGTAAGAGCACCCATGTCATGCAGTGTTCATGGAGGACAGAAAGGGGCATCAGTTCCCCTGGAACTGGAGTTACAGATGGTTGTGAGCCACCATGTGGATGCTAGGATTTGAACTCAGGTCCTCTGCAAGAATAGCCAGTGCTCTTAGCTGCTGAGCCATCTCCCCAGCCCCTGAACAACAGATTCTCCTCTCCCATCTCCCCATTGTCTGCCCATTGTACACATATACTGAGAATCTACAAAATACTCTTCTGCAATGTCTTTGAAGAGGTATTCAAGAGGTCCAACACAACCTTAAGATAGTGAAATACAATTTTGTAGTCTCTCTCATGCTCATGACAATTCTGATTTTATAAGAGTGCATGGATAGCAGGTTTTATTACAGTCATTAGACAAAGATTACTGAGCCCTGTGAACTAGGCGTTCAAAAAACGTAGTGTTTTATAAAAATGATTACATACCTTCATCAGAGCCAAGAATCTGTCCAAAATATTGACAGCCAGAACAAAAGTTTCAGTGCAAGATCCAAAAAAGTTAGTTAAACTCCTTAAATCCTCTACTTTGGCATTTCTCAATCTTGAACACAAAGTGTTATCATTCTGAAATAAGAACCAAGAAATTAAGATATTTTCCCCCTTTAATTTTCAACATTATGGGGGCATGTAACCTTACGCAAAGCTATCCGCTTACAGATATAAGATGTGAATTACTGCTTTTTTAAAATATGCAACACAGAAGAGCTTTAGCAAGTCTGTATATGTAAGGTAAGTGTTGCCACATTCCAGAGGGTTAGAGTAGAATTCAATCCCTTGGAAAAGAGAAAGGGTTCCTTGTTTTTGTTCTCTAAAATACTTTAGGATCCCCTTATAAATGTTTCATAAGGCATACACTGCTCAGTTCCCTAAGAGTCTCCATTAAAAGAAACACCTCTACACTGGTATTACTTCCGCTCTTGCTAAGAAACAAAAGCATAATCTCGTACAATATTAAGGTTTTTCTTAGTACTCTGGGAAGACCAACTGTTGGCTTAAGAAACCTGGTAGGTTTTGGTATTGATTCAACTGGGGAACAGAAAGTTACCTCCTCCAAGTCCTATCAATTCTCAACTTACCTCTGGGGTGGCCTCGATCAAGCTCAGTCCTTTCTCTCGAGGTTGGAATCTTTGTTCTTGTTCCACATAGAAGCTCAACAATCCCAGGAGCTGGACCCCTTTGCCACCTGCCAAGTACTCGGCCCCCAAATCCTTCATCTGCAGCAAATACACCACAGCGGGTTAAGGTGGTAGCCAGGTGAAGACGTGCAGAAGGGCAGAAAGAGCCGCCGGGGAGGGGTGGGGGTAGATTACCGTGGCGAGACCCAGGCGAGGGGATCAGTCACGTCCGCTAACCCCAAGGGAATCCTGCCCCTAGCCAAGGGGGTGTGGCTTGGAGGGGAGGGATCCCGGTCACCTCCGCTGGTCCCGACCGGGTCAGACCAGCCAGACCCGGCTGAAGACTTCACAAACGGAAACTACACAGGCCGCGGTGTCCCCGACAGCATGTACCAGCTGAAATGCTCCGAGTTACTTCTGCCCCAGGAATGCACGGACAGAGGGGCTGAAGCACAGCAGCCGGGTCTGGGGCGGGGTGCTAACAGTGGGGAGGGGGTGAATCTCCCGGCTGAACAAAGAACCAGAGGGAGGAGCCTCCGGAACTCCGCCCCCCGCCCTCCTCACCGCCCCCAGCCATCCACCTCCCTTAGGTACCCCGCGGAGCAGAATCCCGATTCCAGGGGGTGAGGGCCACCGGGCTGGGGAGGGGACAGGATGCGTCCATTCCCCGACATTCCCTGCCCATCCGCCAGTGTGCGCGGCCCGGGACTGTCCACCCCGTCCCCACCCCGACCAGCGAGAGACATCCGTGTCCGCTACAGCATCTCTTGGTCTCGGCTGGTGATCCCGGGCCGAAACCAAGACGGGGCAGCTCTCGGGGTGCGGGGCGATCACCCCTCCCCGCCGCTCTCCGACCGGAACAAAGAAACCCGAGCCGCCGGGGCGGCCACTCACCGTGCCCGAGACGCCCCCGCGTCGGAGCGGACAGGGTCGGACCTGCCTCCGCGGTCGGGAGCCGCCGCCTCAGTGCTGCCCGGGGCCCGGCATCCGATCGGCCCCGCCGCTCACAGCCCCGACTGCATTCCGCTCCCGTCCCGCGGGCGCCGCCGACACCGCTCCGACTCCGCAGCTCGGGCCCACAGAGCCTTGTTTTTGTTTTGAGTCTGCAACGCCCCCAAGGGCGGGCACGTGACTCCGCGGAGGGATCCACGTCCGCCACCGACGGAGAAAGAGTCCCCGACGCGCTGCCCACAGTCCGGTGCCACCCCAGCTGTCCTGGGCCTGACCGCGCCTGGCTGGGGTGCGGTGCACCCGACTCTCCTCCCTGCGGGGGCTACACGGACGGGGACTGAGCGGCGGGCGGTCGGGCGCGCGGAAGGAGACCTCTTCTGGTCGCAGCGCACCCTTTAAAGGTCCTGATTTGTTTTGGTTTCGCTGTTTTGAAAAGTCCGCCCGAAGTAGCGGGCTCTCTGATTGGATACGGGTGGGATTTGCAGAAACCTGAGGCCTCGATTCAATCTCCAATCCAGATTGGCTGACTGATTGGTCTTTCAGTTCTCTGATTGGTTCGCACTGTATCCGGACTCTCTTCTCTTCCTCTAGGCCTTAGCAACTCTGGGGTATGGATTGCGCATGCTGGGGCGGCGTGTTGCCAGCCGGGGTTACCTACCCTGAGGTCTCCCATGCACCTCAGTCTAAGCTGGGGAATGACAGCCTCCAATTACATCTGCCCGAATAACGAGATAACCTTTGCAATGACAGTGTCCACACCAAAAGAGCGTCCACGTTCCTTATTCGTCTCAGTGGTCTATCTGCAATAAGCAGTCAAGGTATAACTTTTGGCATTCATGGATGAAATGCCATCATATTTGGCATTTGTTTAAAAATGTAAAGGCTCAAGAAAAAAAAAAAAACACTAGATTCAGTTATTCAGGTTCGGAGTTCTTGAAGATGAGCGGTGGGTAGAGGTTTCGTTACACTGTTGTTTCTACTTTCATAAACCTGAAATGTTTTCATAATTTTAAAAAAAGGTTCAGAGGAGGGACTTTTCAATTAAAAACTGCACATTGATGAGGGCACATAAGCATCTAATAATTAAATAGCGTTCTTCAGAGGTTGTGGTTGTGCTGTTTTAATGAAGGCTCCCACAGTCCGTTGGTCCTTTGACGTTCATAAATTATCGTTTATTGTCCATTATAATTAGCGTTGTTATTAAGGTGACACCTCTCCCGAGGTGGAGCAAAAGTCAAACCTTAGGCTGGAAAACTTTCACGCGGAATCTCAATAGCGATGTAGGAGGCGGCCCTGGAACATTTATACTTTCTCTACTTTCGCTTCCCTGATCCCCACCTCATCCACACATGAAAATCCATTAACAAGCATGTTCTTGAATTGTAAATAGCCAACCCTTGGAAAATGATTCTCCTGTTCTTCTATATGTTCTCTGTGAGTCATTTTGTTACTTGTGAAACAGGGGAAGGCACATCATAACGCTTCAACAGCTGTTCCCTCTTCCCAGAGCAGTTAAAGAATTGTATAAATAGATGAGCTGCAACTGGACACAGACACATCTGTTTGGAGCACAGAGCATCTAGGGGAAGAGAATCTAAAGAGTTGTCTTGTTTCAGAGAGTTGTGGCTTTCTTCATGGTTTTAGACTATAAAACAAAAAGCATACCACTTATAAATTATTTACAGGTTATATAATTTTATTCAATGCTTGTGATCTTCTAAGCATTACTTGACTATTATTTTAGTTGACATACATCTGGATGAAAGTCCATGCTAATAAACATTAACTGGATCTCATGAGAATAGAGCTTAGATTAGAGTTCAGAAGGCAAATCTTGTGCAGAGGAGAAAGAAGCTCAATTAATAGAGTCCACCTGAATGCAAACATACACCATGAGAGTTTCTGACCAGAACATGGACAGTACTGGGGGCCTTTGTTCTTCAAGAGGGCAAAGGTAGAAAAGGAACAGATAAAATAAGTGATGTGAAAGAGGAAGTATAAAACGATGTGGCAGGCAATTTTATAAATAGCAGAATATATAAGACCAAAAGGAAGCAATTCAGCCAGGTGTGATGACTCACACCTTCTAACACTTGAAGGCAGAGTCGGGGAGGGGATTACTCTGAATTCAGGCCCAACCTGGGCTACGGAGTTCAACCCTTTTGGAAAAAGAAGAAAAATAAATCTAGAAATTATCCTTTGCTTAGACGACTAGATAATATAAAGTTAAAAATGTATACTATATTTTAGGAGATATGAACAGTCCTCTAAGAATAAGACAGTTTTGTAAATGGTGTTGAATTTACTGCTTAGCACAAGAGAAAAAACTTTTCCCACTTTAGTCCACCTGTCTCCTTAAGAGTAAAATTCAGGGCTGGAAAGGGCTCGGCAGTTAAGAGCATTGGCTGTTTTTGAAGAAGACCTGGGTTCAAATTCCAGCACCCACATGGCAGCTAACAGCTGTCCATAACTCCAGTTTCAGGGGATCCGACGATCTCTTCTGTCTTCTGTGGGCATTGCACAACATAGGTGCAACACGCATGCAGGCAATACATACACATAAAATAAAAATAAAATATTTTTTTAAAAAGAGTAAAATACAGCAATCATTAAAAATACTGGTCCAGCTAGGCATGGTGGTACATGCCTTTATAGTCCCAGCACTTGGGAGGCAGAGACAAGCAGATGTCTGTGAATTCCAAGCCAGCCAGCGCTACATAGTGAGACTATGTCTCAAAAAAACAAATATATACATCTAATAACTACATCGTCTTTCTAATAACTACATCTCCCTTTCATGACGATGATATGCCAAGAAGAGGGAGGAGTTATGCAGATTGTCTCTCTTTGCTATGTTTTTGTTATTTATGTTTTGTTTTAAATAAGTCTTTCTCACACTGACTTTGTGTTTACCACCTTGGTTTGCTATGCCAGAGCTTTAGGTGCTGTTTGTTAAAAAAGACATTCCCCTACACTGATCACACTGTACCCATTAGGCACATCTTAGCCCTTCCTGAGCAGTTCTTAAGGACAACATTCCTGGATAAGGACCCATAAGAAACAAGGAAATTAAAAAAAAAAATCTTGCAGCAATTAAGAAAGACTTGGAGGGAATTCCATTTTATTATAGGATGCTTGGTCTTCTATAGCACAGTGATAGGGTGCAGTAGGATTGAGTGATACTCTTCAGAAAACCTGTCATACTCAGGGACATGGGAGACTAAAACCGGGGCGGTGGGGAGGGGAATGGGACACTGATGACAATGACATGACAAGGTGGAAAAGGAGCAGCAGCTTCTACACAGAAACAATGCCTGAATTCAACCCATCCTGGACCCAGAGATGTGTCTTTCAAAGCTAATCAATTCAACTTGTCCCTGAAAACAGCATCTCAAGGGGCTGCTGTAAGGCTTCCAAAGCGATTTAAATTCAGGCTTCTCTGAACTATTTAAGGCATCAAAGGTCCCACAGCTTTCCAAACATGTTTTTCTTTAGAAATGATGGTTTCTGAGTCGTGGTGGGGCATACTGGTAATCCCAGCACTTGAGAGGTGAGAGACAAGAAGATAAGTTCATGGTCTTTTGATGTATGGCAATCTTGAGGCCATTCTGGGGTATGTGAAGCCCTGTCAGCAAACACTAAACTTTTATACGAAAGACATTGAAGTTCTTTTTGGCAGTGCTAGGGATTGAAGCCAGGACCTTGCACATGCTTGGCCACGAACTTCTTGCACATGCTTAGTTCTACCACTAAGGAGCATCTCCAACCCCTGTACTATAGACAGTGAATGAATACACACTAAGTACCAAGCATTCTACTAGACTTCAGAGGTTCAAAAATAGATAAATAAAACTGGGCCTCAATTCAGTCCTAATATCATTGCAGTAGAGCAAAACCACACTCCATGGGATCAGGATGGTGTCAAGTTCCATCTTTCCTATTCCCTAGAGATATTATCTTCAATAATTCACCTTTTCCTGAACTTACTCTTTCTAATGTAAAAGAGTATTAATAATTATGTCTTCTTTATATAAAAATTAAACACAAGTTTGTGGAAGCAATTTTCCATACAGTAAGTTGTTAGGATGTTTCATGATACTGTGATGTCCCAAAGGATCATGACTGAGCTCAAAGAACGCTGTTGGAAAGCAGCTCTAAAGGGAAGAGCCTTAGGATCCTGGTCAAAAACGAAACCCTGAGCTCCTCCTCTCAATTTCCTCATTATTCAGACTCTAGGCCTGGGCTGTTTTCTGCGTTGAAAGTGGTTTGCAGCCTAAACTTCCTGTTTAAATTGAAATTTACTAGCAGACCACAAAGGAGACAGGAATGTCTAGTCCAGAGAAAGGAACCGGGAGATTTAGCCCAATCCAGGATGCCATCTTGAAGTGATTCGTTTTTTTCAACCAAAGAATCATTTTTTAATCTGAACCTGGAAAAATTTGCCAATCTACAGAATAGACCACTCATGCCTTTCCTCAGGCAAGCAACCAAATAAATCAGTGAGGTAACTCATATGGTCTTCTTTCTTTACCTTGTCATGGGCAAGATGCTCTCAAATCTGAAATTAACCAGCCCCATGTTTTACAACCATATTGATATTGTTAACAATAGTAGCATGGTGTGTCTCCCTGAGGAAGTGCTCATATCCCTGCACAAGGATTAGTGATAACCACAACCCAGTTAATTCCCAGGTATTGATGTGCCCAGCCCCCATGTTGTGGGAATTATCCACAATTCACAGACCCACTGAATGATTATAGCTGAAGGATCAGTTTTTCTAGATACCTGGTTCAGCCACTCCCAGTTTCTCTAGTCTGAAAGTGAGCTAGCCTGGTACAAAGTGTCTATGAAACCTCAAAACTCAAAGCTCATTTGACTCTGGCCAACACATTATTATCCAGAACTGTTTCTGTTAGACTAAAAGTCAACTGACATAAAGGAAGTGATTTGATCTGAGGTGGAAAGCTGACAGAGGAGAGTGCAACTGTAGATGTGCTGAATTCTGAAACTGGAGCTGATTATTTCAGAATAGTGAGTCTGTCCCAAAGCAAACATCCTTCTTCTCTCTAAGAGACTGAATCTCAGTATGATGCCAAGGTTGGCCCTGAACTCCTGAACTCTAGTAATCCTCCTGTCTCAGTCTGCCAACCAGCTGGCACTACAGACTCATGACATGTGACAGCTTCCAAAGTCATATTTTAAGCGATCAAGACTATATTTGGGGACATTGTGCATTATTATTTATATAATACCTCTCCT